ACTCTGAAATCATGAATCATTGTGTGAGACCAACACAACATCTACCAACCAAATCACTCTTGATCGAGATGCCTTGCAGGACGTTACCACCTTTACATATCTGGGCAGCATCATCGACAACCATGGTGGATCCGATGCAGATGTCAGGGCGCGGATCAGCAAAGCAAGGGCTGCATTTCTACAATTGAAGAAATTCCGGAATTCCAAACAAATATCAACCAAAACCATAATGAGGATTTTCAATACAAATGTCAAGACAGTTCTACTGTGTGGGACGGAAACTTGGAGAACTACCAAAGCCATCATCATCCACGAGATACAAGTATTTATGAACAGTTGTCTACGCAAAATACTTCGTATTCGTTGGCCAGACACCATCAGCAACAACGAACTGTGGGAGAGAACAAACCACATTCCAGTGGAGGAGGAAATCAGGAAGAAGCGGTGGAAGTGGATAGGACACACACTAAGAAATGCACCAAACTGCGTCACAAGACAAGCCCTCATATGGAACCCTCAAGGCAAAAGGAAAAGAGGAAGTCCAAGGAACACATTACGCTGAGAAATAGAGAAAGACATGAGAAGAATGAACAAGAATTGGACAGAACTGGAAAGGGAAGCTCAGGACAGAGTTGGTTGGCGAAAACTGGTTGGCGACCTATGCTCCATTGGGGGTAATAGGCAAAAGAAGTAGTAAAATAAGCAACATTTGAAACCTGGAAGTACTGGACAGCTGTTTCATCCTAGTATGGGACTCGTCAGTAGTGCACACTCATGACTCCTGCTATTCGCAGGATTCGAACCCAATACCGTCGGTTCATTTTGTATTTTGAATTAGAAAACCGGCAAATAATAATGTATATTATAAAATGTATGTGTTAATTTTAGAAAAGAATTTAAATCTTAAAAAATAATTCATGTCAGATTACTAGTACTACTACTACTACTGTTACTACTACTAATTAAATATATATATATATATATTTATTACTAACTCCGTCATTCGTAACATTGAAACGTCATAAAAACACACACACAATTAGAAATTCCGTAATATCATATGATAAAATAAATGGCATTAATAATTGCGTCACGAACATTGTGATAGCAAAATAATAATAATAGTAATAACAATAACAGTGGTGAAATCATCGGCGTTAAGAGACATGATTGTGTAAAAACTATGGATAGATGTACAAGACATAAATCAGTCAGTCAGTCAGTCAGTCAGATGCAACGTAGAACTTTGTACGTAAGTACATCAGTTCATGTTGCCATATCACATCAGCACAGAGAGATGTAATTGTCAATTCAAATCCAATAGTAGAAGAAGTAGTAAAGGTATTAGCAGTAGTAGGAGAGGTTACGATTAGATGATATTATTCAAGAAGTATGGTTCAGTGAGAAAAGTTTAGAAAGTCAAAACTAGAGGGGTTGAAGAAACCAGAAGATTAGGATTTCAGAGAACACAGAGAATAAATGCATCGGTGCCATTGCGAACGATTTTGAGCCATGTCGTTCACGGTCTCTAACCATCGATTATTATCATCTCGTGGACCCCAACCAGGTAGTCGACAATTACCGACATGGCTCAGTCCACTAGTCAATGACTTCATGGATTTCTGCCATGTTTTGGTCTGGCCACCCCTAACTTTCTTCCAACCTACTCCTACACTACAAAACAAAGCTCGACGAGGCAGTCGGTGGTTAGGCATACGCAACACGTGTCCCAACCACCTCAACTGATGAAGTTTCACCACTTCATCGATTGCTCTCCCATCCTTACCTAGTACTCGTTTCCTAACGACAGCATTGCTCACTCGGTTGTCCCACGGTATACGAGCAATGCTTCGAAGACACCTATGATCGAAAACCAGTAACCTACGAACATCTTCTACTCTAACTGGCCATGTTTCACAGCCATATAGAAGAACGGAGCGAACTGCTGCACAGTACACTCGTCCTTTGATTAGAGAACGGATATCACGCCTACGCCATAAGTGACGTAGGTTGGCAAAAGCCAATCGAGCCTTCTGTATCCGTGGTGAGATTTCGTCAGTCACCAGGCCATCGGCACTGATGAGACTCCCAAGATAAGTGAAGCGGTCTACACGTTCGACTACTTCACTCCCTATCACTAGTTCAGGTGCCGATGCAACCCAGTCTTGAAGCAACATTTTGCATTTCGAGGAGGAAAACCGCATCCCGAACATGCTTGCATTGTTGCTTAGGGTAGTCAGAAGACTCTGCATTTTGTCAGCATCTTCACCAAGTAGGACAATGTCATCGGCATATTCTAAGTCAATAAGCGAGCCACCTGGTAAAAGGTCTACTCCTGAAAATTCAGACGAGAACAATGTTATGACAAGACATAAATGTTTTTGGTTAAACCCTTTTCTTTCATATGTATGTAGTCTTAGAGGTATTTGTAAATGAAGGAAGAAGTTTCGCATATGTAGTCCTACTTTCAACATGACATCCTCTATGTAGTTCAATGTGGTGTAGTGTAGTGTAGTGTAATGTATGAAAGTGTATTCATGACCGTTTTCGGGCAAATTACTTCAGACTTGATTCAACATTGGAAAGGCTTCCTTCCCACAACTGTATATGGTATCGACTGTCTAATCAATCATAGAGGAGGATGACACTATTACCAAGGTAGACAACTGGCTTTTCGAATTAAGTTGTGGTAAGTTTCCTTGAACATGTATGTAACAATAGGGTATATACTGAGTTAGGCCAATGTAATTGACTTTCACATAACAGTTAAAGTGATATATACACATAGAGAGAAATGTAATCAATGAGTCAGTGTATGTCAAGCTAAACAAAAATTGACATCAGTTGGATGTTATAGTAAAATTAACCGGTTTGCCTAACTAAATTCCCCCATTTAAGCGTTAACATATTAGGTATCTCTGTTTGTTGTTGCATTAACATCGATTCGATTCTCAATTTGGTCAAGTTATGGATGCTCGTTGACGATGAGTCCAATCCAAGGACAAAATAGTCAACCGTTGCATCCAAATTCTTAATGATATTTTAACATTGATCAATTCTGTGATTTCAATGAAACTCAACAATCTGAGTCGTTGGGACATGTGTTACGTATGCCTAATCACCAACGGCCTCGTCGAGCTATGGTTTGCGATGTAGGAATAGGTTGGAAGAAAGTTAGGGGAGGCCAAACTAAAACATGGCTGAAATCCATGAAGTCACTGACAAGTGGACTAAGTCGTGTTGATAGGTGTAGACTACCTGGTTGAGTCCTGCGAGATGATAGTAATCGATGGTTAGAGACTCTGAACGACATGGCTCAAAACCGTTTGCAATGGTGCGGGTACATCCACTCTTTGTGTTCTCGCGAATCCTAATCCTCTGAATTCCACATAACCCTTTTCTTTTTAAGTTTATTTCACTAGATTCTACTTGAATAATATCTTCAAACCCTAATCTCTTTGATTACTGCTAATACCTTTAATACCTCTATTATTAGGGGTTTTGAAGTGCCTTGTTCACACCTTACACGGTTTAACTCCACTGGTTATGCTTTCTTATTAGAACCTCAGTACGTTTTACTGACAGTGGTCATGTGATCAGTAATGACTAGCCTCCAGAGTGAATTCCTGGAATAGGAAACCATGACCAGTGGAGTTGAACCGTGTTGGGTGTGAGGAAGGCACCCATTAAGGATAATGGATGATGGTCGCGCAATATCATGCATTGACTGAAATTAGATATTAATACTGTTGTATGCCTACTCAGTATTCTAGAGATTAAGCGTTTGCGCGCGAGACCAAAATTCTTGGGTTAAGTTCCTACGCAATATGGTCGTAAATGTGCACTGTTGAGGAGTCTCATACTAGTATGAAACAACCAGTCGGTACTTTTGGGTTTTTGGTGGTGGCCTAACATTGGTCGAATCATGGTTTGAGATAATCTTGGATCTATGAGTTTGTTCAAGTAATCAGGGAGTGGACTTGTGAATTATAGTTCACATTTTGTTAAATTAACTGGTCTGAACGAATGGGTGTCATTGTGTTTTAAACTGTGACAACCATCACCTCATCGAAACGCAATAGATAAACAAACCTTGATTAACTGACTTCCTGATTATTACTAATGTCATTTAGATTGATTGAAAACTAGGGTTCAAATCTGAGACCTACTGATCGGGAGTCTACTTTTTCAACTGCCAATCACACTTTCAGATTAAACTAACTACAGACCAAACAATGGTATATTGGATATAAAATAATTTGGTTATCGATAATAACGAGGAGAATAAGTAAATGTTTAATGAGTTATGCAGTGATTGAGCTGACTTGTATTCCATGACACAAATACATGAAGTCATTGACAACTGGGTTGAGTTATGTTCGTAGGTGTATACTACCAGATTGGGGTCCGAGAGAAAATAGTAACTGATGCTTGGAGACCTTGAATGACATGACTCAAAATCGTTTGCAATGGCGCGGGTGCATCCATTCTTTGTTTCCTCTCAAATTCTAGTCTTCTGATATTCCTCATGACCATATCTTTAAATTTATTTCACTCCCTTATACTTCTTGAATGATATCTTCGAACCCTAATCTTCTCCATTATCGCTAATGCTTCTACTATATCTAACTACTATGGGATTTAAATGGACAACTGCATCTCTGTGCTAATGTGATATGGCAACTTGAACTGATGTACGTGCGTACGTACGAAGTTCTACGTTGCTGTTGACTGACTGACTGACTGACTTGACAAAAATTTGCACAATCTTGACATGACAAATTAATCAACATAATTGGAGAAATTGAAAAAACAAACATGTAAGATCGAGGAGTTCACGTACGGCGCCAAAGGTCCTGGGTTCGATTCCTGCAAGGTGCAGGAGTCGTGGATGCGCACTGCTAATGAGTCTCATACAAGGATTAAAACAGCTGCCCAGTGCTTTCAGGTCGTTAATGTTTATCTAACCATTTCCATTGCGCAACATAATCACTTCACCATCAACCAACACATATATATATGCAATCGTTACACTTACCTTCACCAACATATAAATGTCCACCATCTTCTCCTTCACGTATAATATAACAATTAGCTGCAACAGTTTGTTCATGCATACATGAAACAACTTCTTGTAATTGAACTGCATCTAAATTTTTGATTAAATCATTACTTCGTAGAGCTTCACGTATTTGTCGACGAGAACTACAACAAATCACATTCAATGAAAATGATAGAAAGAAATTATTATTATTTTTAATGATGTAAAATATATTATGTAGAATGTGTAGTCACACACATATGATAATGTGAATAAGTTCAGTGAATGAAATCATCTTGAAAGAAGGGAAATGATTGAATTCATCAATCAAACCTTCAGTGTAAATTAATAATAGTTGACATGGACTCATTCCATGATCCTGACTGAGTGTGAAAAAAAAATGGCGTTTGAACATAGGTGTTGATCACCGGCTATCATGTCATGAGACTGTATCACTCACTGAATGTTGCTCCTATGAGCTATGAAATAGAATCTTGATACATATATATTGACAGTATCAATTTGGTTTTTTAGATATCTTTTTAGTAGTACTTTTCAATCAATCAATCAATCATATCAATAGAAACGTAGAACTTTGTACGTACGTACATCAGTTCTAGTTGCCATAGCATATTAGCACAGAGATCTAATTGTCACTTCAAATCCAATAGTAGAAGAGGTAGTAAAGGTATTAGCAGTAGTCAGAGAGGTTAGGATTAGAAGATATTATTCAAGACGTAGAATCTAGTAAAATAAACTTTAAAAAATAAAGCTGATGAGTAATTCAGAAGGTTAGGATTTGAAAGAACACAATGAATGAATGCACTTGCGCGATTGCAAACTGTTTTGAGCTATATCACTCAGGGTCTCTAACCATCGGTTACGTTTATTTAGCTGTTCCCAACCAGGTAGTTTACATTTACCAACATGACTCAGTCCACTTGTCAGTGACTTCATGGATTTCTGTCAATTTCTGTCAATTGGAAGTAGCTGTCATATCTCAAGGTTGATGTTCACTCAGGGACTCGGACCAAGTACTGCTTGCTTTGTCTTTCTAACCTTATCTCACTCACTGAATTATACTTCTTGAATAATATCTTCAAACCCTACTAGTCTTATTCATTACCATTAATACTTCTACTATCTTTATTACTATGGGATTTTATTTGACATTTGCGTCTCTGTGCTGATGTGGTATGGCAACATGAACTTATGTACATACGTACGAAGTTCTACGTTGCAACTGACTGACTGACAATCATTGAAAACCTTCAAAAACTGAACAGTCACTTCAACCTAGCATGAAACTCCTCAGTAATTAGACTTTTACCACAAATAGATTCCTTCCTACTGATTTAGTTTTGAAGACTCAGCATTTTCACTCTGAACTAGCAAAACTCCTCGTTGGACTCCTCCTGACAGCGGGGGTCGTGGAACCGTACTATTAATCAGTCTTATACTTCAAGGTTTTCAATGATTATAATTTCAATTTCTTTTCATGTTGTATGTATATTTACACTAACACTTACTGTCTCTTTCATGTGTTTACATAAATGTTGTTGATAAAATTGACCGAAATGAACTATCATGATTTAATTAATAGTTGAAACATTCAACTTTTAACTAATTGTATTGTAAGATTTGAACCTCGAGTGCATTTACTCCAGTCCACAGGCAACCACACATACATACATACGTATATGTGCACACAATGTGACTAAATGTCAAGTAGACTGACCTATAACCAACTCACTTACATAATATAACAATACACTGCAATACTTACACACATAAGAAAATCTACGCTTATTCTTATGTAAGATATAAAAGAATGAAACGTTCGACAGAATTTTACTATCTACGAAATCATCATGAATTGATCCATTGTGTTAGACCACAACAGTAGAAACCTGAAATCACTACTAGATGGCTGTTTCGTCCTTGGGTGGGGACTTATCATCACCAGTGGCAGTGTGCATCCATGACTCCCACAACTCGCAGGACCTTCGGTTCTTGCGCTTGAATGCCTAACCTTTCGACCATCGAGTCGGTCGATATTTGACAGTGTTAATGTCTAACTTGATCAATTCACGGAGTTTCGCAACCTGATACTATGATTTATCTACGGATTTTGTGCGACCTCACCCATTTTCTTTGGTAGTTACTGTCTACACCCGAACAGGTTGAAATTCACTGGTCAGGTCTTCCCACTAGAACTCGGAGAAGATTCCTCACGAAGAAGCTAGTCACTAGTGAGCACAGTTAATTTGCATTACGGGGTTGTGAAGATTGTTGAGTTACACATTTCGCCTACAATACCGAAGGTCCTGAGTTCGAATCCTGTGGGGTGCAGGAGTCGTGGATGCGCACTGCCACTGATGAGTCCCATACCAGGACGAAACGGCCGTCAATCAGTGCTTCTTCCAGGTTTCTAATGGTGGTCTAACATTGATCGATTCATGGTCTCAAAAATGTGTAACTTAACAATCTTCACAACCCCCTAATGAATTGATTTTTTCTATCAAGCTCATATATCAATAGATAGATATTGCACTGATAAAATGAGACATCAATATACTCTATGCTCAGTCAGTTAGTTAGTCGGCTACAACGTAGAACTTGTTAAGTACGTACATTAGTTCAAGTTGCCATGATACATTAGTACACAGAGATGGAATTGTCAATTTAAATCCAATAGTGATAGAGAGAGTAGAAGTATTATTGGTAATGAAGAAGATAAGGGTTCGAAAATGTTATTCGAGAAGTATAATTCAGTGAGATAACTTTAGAAGGAGAAAGATAGAGATGATGAGGAATTTAGTAGGTTAGGATTTGAGAGAACACTAAGAATGAATGCACTTGGGCCATTGCAAACAATTTTGAGCCATGTCGTTCAAGGTCTCTAACCGTCGCTTACTATCGTCCCGCGGACCCCACCCAAGTAGTCGACACCTACCGACATGACTTAGTCCACTTGTTAGTGGATTTTACCATGTTTCGGTCTGGCCGCCCCTAGCTTTCTTCTAACCTACTCCTACAACACAAAACATAGCTCGTCGTTGCAGTCGGTGGTTAGGCATACGCAACATATCCTAATCACCTTCACTGAAGTTTCGATAATTCATCTACTAATCTACCATCCTTACCTAGTACTCGTTTCCTAACGACAGCACTGCATACTTGGTTGTTCCAGGATACACAAACAACGCTTCGAAGACATCTAAAATCGAATACTAATAACCTACGAATGTACTCTACTCTTAACGGCCATGTTTCGCATACATACAGTAGGACGAAGCGAACTGCTGTGCACTAAACTCGTCCTTCGGTTAGCAGACCGTTATCTTGCCTGAACCATATGTATCTTTGCTGAGATTTTTTCGGTCACCGGACTGTCAGGATTGATGAGACTCCCGAGGTAACTGAAGCGGTCGACATGCCCAACTACTTCACTACCTATTACTAATTCAGGTGCCGACGCAAGTCAATATCGAAGTAACATTTTGCATTTCGATAAGGAGAACCGCATCCCGAATATGCTTGCATTGTTGCTCAGGGCAGTCTGAAGACTCTGCATTTTGTTAGCGTCTTCACCCAATATAACTATGTCGTCGGCATCAAAAGCGAAAACTAGTAAACACTTGATGACCATTTTTTCCTAGTATAGGACCTTTCAGTAGTGCTTGATTTCATAACTCTGCTACAGAAAGTCGAAGCCAAGATCTTCAATTTCGTACACGAACGCTGAATCTCTAGATACGTGAGCTGGAATTCAATCGAGCACAAGCTGATCTTCAGTCAATACACAATATCGCGCTACCATCTACCATTGTCATCGGTGGTACTTTCCTCACACCCGAAAAGGTCGAATGTTGGATCTATTTCACAGCCATCATAGACTGACTTTAATTGAATAACAAATGGAAACCTGAAATTCTAGTGATAAAAAGACCATTAATTCATTACAAATCAACCAACAAAAAAAAACAATATATTTCTGCGAACTTACTTTGCATCTTTATCATGATAAACTAATTCTTGTGCACATTTCATTGATTCACCAGAAACACCCAGACGTTTACGAAGTAATAAAGCTGCAGCAGGCGGTGGAGTAGTAGTTACATCAGTAGTAACTGGTGGTGATCCAGCTGGTGTAGATGATGATGATGAAGGACTATGTGATTCACTATCATTACGTTTATCATCATTGATAGGTTGAGTAACAACATTTGTTTCACTAATCGATGGGAGATCTTCATGTATCACTTTGAGACCGTCAACAGGTGAAGATGTATCATCCTAGGGGTGTGTATAGAGAATAAATGAACAAAAGAAATATTTGCATTACGGGGTTGTGAAGATTGTTGAAAACGATTGGTACAAAAAAAGAAACTCTGTTAGGTTGCCTCCGGTAAATAAGACATATTTACAATCTTGGGAGAAAAGAATAGGTAATCGGCTTAGTCAGCAATAGCGTCTCAAATGGAGTATCACTCCTTTCAAGAGTGCACACATGCACCTTTTTGATGAGAGCTAACTAGCACAAAACCTAAAAGCCACCCACCTGTTCAGTATCTATAACCAGCAGCTTAATTCAAAACCTAGTTCAAGAGATGTACAGTCATATTCATTTGGATTAAATAGTTTATTAGTCGAAATTCGTTCAAACAATCCGTCTTTATGAAAGTAGAGACTGACACACATACACACATGTGTGCATTGGCTTAACCTACCCAAAATGATTAACTATTGATGAGAAGAGAACAAGACAAATATAGATCGAACATTGAGAATATGAGTCAAAAGGACTAAGTGGGATAAATGATCACGACAGAATACTGGGATGCAAGATCGAGGAGAATGAATTTATAAGCAGTATAGTATGACTGATCCTGTATCATATCATTGAAATTCTCCGATTTCTGGTTGAGTTGATATTTGATCGACACCTAAGACTTGATATACTCTACCCCAATGACTGATCAGTGAAAAAAAAGCCGTACTTTATAATCCGAAAATGAGATACAGCAAAAAAGTTTAAATCACAAAATAATCGTAACTAGATGACCGTTATACTTCAGATTCATTAGCCAGACACCATCAGCACCAACCTACAGTGGAAAAGAACAAATCAGATTCCAGCAGAGGAAGTAATCAGGAAGAAGCGCTGGAAGTGGATAAAACACACATTGAGAAAAGCACCAACATGCGACACAAGACAAGCCATAAACTTCAAATCCTCAAAGCCAAAGGAAAAAAAGGAAGACCAAATAACACATTACACCGAGAAATGAAAGTACACATCGGAAGAGAGTATGTTAGGGGAACATAGATAGAATTAAAGCATGACTGCGTCAGACGCGCGCTGATTGGCTAATTTCCTATCCAATCAGCGCCTGATCGATTCTTGGAGAACAGGGTAGAAAATTCTCGTGCTGTTAGCTGCATGCTGATTAGCTAAATCTAATCCAGTCGACCACGTGAATTTCTATCCAGAAGCTTCTCATGTTAATGTTATGAAGAAACTAACGTTGTATCTATTTTTGCCTTCGCCTTTGCCATCACCTTTGGCTTCTTATTTCCATTTAACCTTGCTATTTGGAATATATTCTTTTCCTGTTCAACCGTGTTTTTGATTCTTGTGAACTTGTCCAGTGTATTGTGGTCAGAGAATACTAAGCAGTAGGATTTAGCTAGGAATTATATAAGCAAGCGTTACAACACGTAGGTTGAAGAACTCTGGTGGACGACCTATACTCCATTGAGGGTAACAGGAGTAAGTAAGTAAGCGAGTAAGACAACTGTTGAAAACATGAAAGCATTGAACAGCTGTTCTATTCAAGCACGATAACTCTCAGCAAAGCACAGCACAATCCACGGTTCGATTCCCCATTAACAGGATTGTTGATGCACACTACTAAAGTATAGTGGTGGTCGAACAATGATTGATTGATGATTTCAAATGTGTAAAAACACAAAACCTCAAAAGCTCTGGCCGAAAATATCGTAACAGTGCTCACTAGTGATTAGCTTCTTCGTGAGGAAATAATCGAAGTTCTAGTGAGAAGACGTGACTAATGGAGTTCGATCCTGTCGAGTGTAGGCAGTACCTACAAAAGATAAATGGGTGAGGTCGCTCAAAAATCCGTAGATCAATCAGAGTTAGACATTAACACCGTTGGATGCCGGAGCAGTGGTCCAATGGTTAGGGGTCCGCGCACAATACCGAAGGTCCTGGGTTCGAATCCTGAGAGGTGCAGGAGTTGTGAATACACACTAGCACTGATGAGTCGCATACCAGGACGAAACGGTCGTCTTTCAGTGCTTTTTCCAGGTTTCTAATGAAGGGCTAACAATGATTGATTGGTGATTTCAAATGTGTAAAAATATAAAACAGCCATTTTATGATTCCAGATTTTCAATAGTCATCGGAATTTTGATCAGAGTTTATGATTTCAATTTTTTTTCAAAAAATAATAATAATCAATTTAACTTCTTTCCAAACCAATATAATCACAACACATAACAAGATGTGATGTGGTGGTAGTTGAGACAGTAAGAAGACCAAAAAAGAAAACAGAGACAATCCATTTAAAAAGAAAAATTGAAACGTTTTGTTTTGATTTTTTTAGAAAAATAAAAAATATTGAAAATTCAATATTCAATATCGATATTGAATATTCAATGTTCAATAAAAATTGAATAAACAAAGAAAGTAACAACAGCAACAACAACAACAACAACACGCCATCATAAAATGTTTGTTAAAATACACCATTAAAAAAAAATAGTGTTGTTTTGAATAGTCGATTATCAGCATCATCAGCATCGACAACATCAACATCATCATCATGATATTAGAGGAGAATATGGGAAGAGAGGGCGAGGGAGAGAGAGAGAGAGGAAAGAAATGATTTTTTTATTCAAATTGAACTAAACAATTATCACTATTTTCTGCTTCTTCTTCTTTTCACCTTCAGAGGATGATGCATGAGGAGGAGGAGGAGGACAAGAACTAGGAGAAGGAGAAGGAGAAGGGAGTTGTTCGATCGATGTTCGATCAATGCAAACAAACGCACAACATGACAGGAAGTGAAGAATTAACTAATCCTAATCCTAACCATCACTTGAAAATTTGGAGAGAAAATCTATTGATGATGAAGAAAACTACTAGATTCATGTAATTGTGTTAGTGTTGGTGATTGTCAACATGAAAAAGAATTTTCAAACTATCAATTAAAATTTGTTTTTTTTTAAAAATAAAAAATAAAAAAAGAATGTGAAACCCTAGAGATAAGCATGAACACATTGATCGATTGGATTGGTTGTATGCATATTAGTGCAGATAAACAAGTTGCATAGAGTCTAACCAACAGTGACTGTCTTGTCAAGTTATGCTTTGCAATGTAGGGCATTAGGTTGGAAGAAAGCTAAGGATGGCCAAAACCGAGTCAGTCAGTTGCAACGTAGAACTTCGTACGTATGTACTATACTACCATACTACCATACTATATAAACACAGAGACGCAAATGTCAAATCCAATCCCATGGTGATAGAGATAGTAGAGGCATTTATGGTAATGAAGAAGACTAGGATTAGAAGACATTATTCAAGAAGTATGATTCAGTGACATAAATTTAGAAAGACAAAGGTAGATGTGCTGACGATTCCAGAGGATTAGAATTTGAGAGAGCTCAAAGAATGGATGAACTTGCGCCATTGCAAACAATTATGAGCCATGTCGTTCAAGATCTCTAACCATTGGTGACTGTAGTCTCGCGGACTCAAACCAGGTAGCCTACATCTACCGACATGACTAAGTCCACTTGTCAGTGACTTTATAGATTTTTGCCATGTTTTGATCTGACCGCCTCTAACTTTCTTCCAACCTATTCCTACACCACAAAACATAGCTTGTCAAGGCAGTCGGTGGTTAGCCATACGCAGCACATGTCCTAACCACCTCAACTGATGAATTTTCGATACTTCATCTACTGATCTGCCATCCTTACTTAGTACTCGTTTCCTAGCGACAGCATTGCTTACTCAGTTGTCCCACGGTATACGAGCAATGCCTCGAAGACATCTATGATCGAATACTAGTAACCTATGAACAACTTCTACTCTGACTGTCCATGTTTCGCATCCATATAGGAGAACAGAGCGAACTGCTGCACAGTACAGCCCTCTTTTGGTTAGCGAACAGATATCTCGCCTACGCCATAAACGACGTAAATTGACAAAAGCCAATCGTGCTTTCTGTATCCGTGCTGAGATTTCGTCAGTCATCAGGCTATCAGGATTGATGAGACTCCCGAGGTAATTGAAGTGATCAACAAGCTTGAATACTTCACTCCCTATCACTAGTTCAGGTGCCGATGCGACTCAATCTTGAAGCAACATTTTGGGGGGGGGGAAACCGCATCCCGAACATGCTTGCATTGTTGCTTAGGGTGGTCAGAAGACTGCATTTTGTCAGCGTCTTCACCTAATAGAACTGTCATCGGCACGGACAAAACCGAAACATGGCTGAAATCCATAAAGTCACTGACAAGTGGATTGAGTGATGTTGGTAAGTGTCGACTACTTGGCTGGGGTCCGCGAGATGACAGCAATCGTTGGTTAGATACCTTGAATGACATGGCTTTAAAACGTTTACAATGGCCTAGTGGCATTCAGTCTTTGTGTTCTCTCAAATCCCAATCTTCTAAATTCCTCATCACCCTTATCTTTTTCTTTTTAAATTTATGTCACTAGATTTTAGTATCTTCGAACCCTAATCTCTCCCATTACAGCTAATACTTCTACTGCATCTCCTACTATGGGATTTTAATTGACAAACCCATCCCTCGGTGCTAATGTAGTATAGCAACTTGAACTGATGTACGTACATACGTACGTAGGTACGCAGTTCTACGTTGCAACTAACTAACTGACTGACTCACTGACTTATATCCATATCAGTGGTGATGGTGATACGAGTGAAGCTAACGTGTGATAGAACAGCGAAGAAATTCAAATCACACATGAGTATTGATCATTAAAAAGCAAATGTGAAATAGTACTGCTGTGGTGCGCGCTACTTATAAGTAGTATATGACGCGAGTGTAAACGTAATGTCTGGCAGCAGAAGATGGGGGAAGATCAAGAAAGGAAGAGTTAGAACACAATGCAATTTGTATGAAACGCATGAATAGTGAAATGTCAGACAATGGATTGATGATGGATTGAAGATTTGCAAATTAACCGTTTACGATATGGTTTTCCTATTTTACTGAGTAACTCTGTAATTCTCGTG